AACTGTTTCGACCTGTTCACTCGGTTCTTCGACTATTTGTGGTTCTCGAACTTCTTCGAGATCTATTCTACTCCCACTGACTCTCTTGGAGACGAACTCTCTCTCCAAGAAAGATCCATTCCGAGCAACAAACACTTTGTTCTCAGATGGGTTGTAGAACCAGTACCCTTTAGTTTCCTTAGGGAACCCACAAATATGCATTTATCAGACTTGCGGATAGCTTATCAGAAGCCAGATGTTTCACATAAACGTCACATCCCCAAATCTTCATGAATGCTAACCTGGGACGCTTCCCGTTCCATATCTCATATGGAGTCTTCTGAACCGACTTTGTTGGACAGTTGTTCAGTATAAGCGATGCTGTTTCCAAGGCGTAACCCCAAAATGATTTAGGAAGATCGACCTGACTCATCATAGACCGTACCATATCTAATAAGGTTCGGTTCCTCCTCTCGGACATGCCATTCCACTGTGGCGTTCCAGGTGGGGTCAACTGTGAGACAATCCCACAATCTGCCAGATAGTCAGTGAACTCTTGGCTCATATACTCGCCACCTCGATCAGATCGAAGCAACTTGATCGTCTTGCCAAGTTGGTTCTGTACCTCATTTCTGAAATTCTTGAACAATTCAAGCGTCTCAGACTTATGTCTGATCAAGTAGACATAACCGTACCTACTGAAATCATCAGTAAACGTAACAAAGTACAGATAACCTCCTCTAGCGGGCGAGCTCATAGGACCGCATGTATCACTATGTATGAGTTCTAGCAACTCTGTAGCCCGTTCTCCTTTTCTAGAAAAAGGAGATTTTGTCATCTTGCCCATCAAACAAGAATCGAATGATTCAATTGACTCATAATCAAAAGAATCAAGAAGTCCATCAGAATGAAGCTTCGCTATGCGTTTCTCGTTGATGTGGCCAAGTCGACAATGCCAGAGATAGGTCGGGTTTAAGTCGTTCGGCTTAAACCGCTTGGTACTAACATTATAGCTCGACCTGTATCCAGATGGTTCATCTTTCAAAATATAAAGGCCATTAAACTGGTAACCTTTACCATAGAATAAATCGCCTCTATAAATGGACAGACATTTGTTCTCAATAACAAATCTGAAACCATCTGAGTCTAAGCATGAAATCGATATGATGTTCCTACTGATGGCAGGTACAAAATAACAATCATGCAACTCCAATACAAGGCCAGAAGGTAAAGTCATATCGTAAGTCCCGACGGTCAATGCAGCAACTTTTGCTCCATTCCCGACGCGGAGATCTACTTCTCCCTTCGCCAATTGTCTACTTCCCCGCAGTCTTTGCACATTTGCACAAATGTGCGAGGCACATCCGGTATCTAATACCCATGATGAAGAAGTACACAAGTTGGCCTCTATAACGAAGATACCAGAAGTTAAAGCTTCTGCAAGCTTCTTCTTCCTTTGATCTTCCAGGTAGAGTCTACAATTTCTATACCAATGTCCAATGGCATGACAGAAATAACACTCTTCCTTCTTGGGATTGGGCTTAGGCTTAGTGACAACACTTGTCAATTTCCTTTTGCCCTTACCTTTGGAACGCTTCCTGTTGCTGGAACTCTTTCCAACAACCACCATATCATTCTTCCCTTGGCTCCCAGCTTTCTCTTGGAATGACATATTCAACTGATCAACCATCAATGAATTGTCCATGTCATCTAATTGCTCACGCAATTCCGAAGACATCTTTCCAAGCATCAAGCTAGACACTGTGACACCCGTAACCCGTGTACAGTATACAGGCTGTGCCAATAGTAATATAATAATAATAATGTGGAAGCAAAAATACGAAATCCAAAAACATTTTAAATAAACCAGAGTAAGCACCGGAAAATACAACAGGCGACGAGTAATCAGCGGAAAATACAACAGGCGATCAGTATCGCAACATAACACATGTCCGAATAGTTATAATTTAGCCGTACAAAATGCGGGAAATACAAGTCTCGTAACCCAAAATGTAAATCTCGTACATGATGCTGCCTCTCTCAGGTCGTCATCTGCCGGATGCGCTAGGCGTAATCCTCGTGATCTGAAAAATGTAAACCACGAGGGCTAAGCACAACTGCTTAGTGAGTAGCCCGGGTTGAACCCGGAAATCCCGTTCCCAACGAGAACGGTACAGTCGACATTTCCATAACCACATGCAATAAGTAAAACACAGTAAGCACGTAAATAACAATCACAATCACGCCCGTATGGAGTCCACCATAGGGCTTAGCCGTATACCCTGGTCAAGTCCATGACCAGGGGCGAATCCACGCCCGTCACTCGCGTGACGTTGGCCATCGCATCGCATGCGATCGTGCGCGTCACAACGGGAATACAATCATACCCATATGGAGTCCACCATAGGGTCCAGCCATATACCCTAGCCAAGTCCATGACTAGGTGCGAGTCCACGCCCGTCAAATCCATGTTCTAAACCTCAAGCACGCAATGAAATCTCGATTTGGACCATCACACATTGAAAACAAGCTCTCACAAATCCAACTCAAGCCACTCACCTTGTTCTTGAGTTTGTCCGAGCTTGTGTGCGTTCCTTGTGGCTCCACACGACGTGAACACCTTCAGGACACGTCTAGGGACGTTCCCCCTTGCTTCCCCGAGCTCTCCTTGCCCTGGTTCGTCGCCTTTCTCTCCCTCTCTCCCTCTTTCTCTACTTCCTCTGTTTTGCCCGAAAATGGCTAAGGCAGAGGATTGGGAGATGTTTCTGGCGTGCGAGAGGGGTCAAGTGGGCTCGAGCCCAGGCCCATAGGCGAGCCTGCAACACCCTCGAGGCATGGGAGGCGACTGGACGGCGAGTGGGCCCCGGAATCCGGCGAATTCCGCGTCCCAAGACCGCAAGTTGGCGAGTTGCAATCTGTCGATTCCCGGTCCGCCGGACCAACTTCCTGGTCCGCCGGACCGGGGTCAGTTTTTTTTTTTCGAAAACTTCTCCCAGTCCGCGCTGTCCAGTCCCCACTCCGGCTGAGCGGTTGGTCCGCCGCGGACCATTCCTGGTCCGGCGGACCACCCCTGTTTTTTTTTTCTTTTTCATTTTCTTCATTCTTTCTCGGTCCTTTCCGCACGTGACGATCCTCGTGCCTCTCCCCGATATTGTATCATCACTTTTGGTGATTTCGTGATATCTCTATTTAATTATTCATTTTTAATAATTAAATATTCAAATCGGGTTTCGGGGTATTACAAATCCTCCCCCCTTAAAAAGAATTCGTCCTCGAATTCGGAATCGCATAATATCATCAATACTTTCTCGTACTCGATATTATCACCAAAACACAATCCATATTGCCACGTCATCCGAAACATAAGTCTGATACAATCGAACGTCATATAAAGGAGTTCGTACAACGGTACAACGCTCAAGTAAAAAGGTGCGGATAACTACTACGCATCTCTGCCTCGGGTTCCCAGGTCATGTCAGAGACCCCTTGGCTTCGCCACAAGACCTTCACGAGTGGCACCTCCTTCGTCCGCAGCTTCTTGATCTTCCGGTCCACGATCTGGAGCGGCTCATCGCGGAAACGCGTAGCCTCTGTAAACTCCAACTCCTGTGGCTGTAGTACGTGAGAAGGGGCCGCTACGTACCTCCGCAGCATCGACACGTGGAACACGTCATGGACGTTGCCCAACTCCTGCGGTAATCCAAGACGGTATGCAACAGCTCCCACTCTCGCGATCACGGGGTAAGGTCCAATGTATCGCGGCTTCAGCTTCCCGCTCTGTCCGAACCTCGCATGACCCCGCATCGCCTGCACTCGGAGAAAGGCATAATCTCCAACCTCAAGGGCAAAGTCTCGTCTCCGCTGATCGGCATACGACTTCTGCCGATCCTGTGCCGTCTTCAGATGGGCGCGAATCCTCCGTATCACCTCGGTGGTCTCCTCCACGATCTCCGTCCCGAACTCTCGGCGCTCGTCGATCTCCGTCCAGCATAACGGTGTCTTGCACGGTC